TGCTCAAACGCGGGTTTTCTATGAGCAAACGCGGGTTCGCTGGTGCAAATGACCGTTAATATTTTTCAACGAGAGGTTGTACACATTGCTCTTCTTTGGTTTGTGTAAACTCTTCTTCTTGAGTTTCTGTATTTTTAGTCGTCATTTTTTATTTGCTTTGTATAATCTTTGACGTTCAGTTGATGAAAGCTACTTTGAGTTGATCTATTACTGAATGCTCATTTTTTAGCACAAAATGGTTTTGGCGTTCATCATTACTTAATACTTTTCGCTGCATCAACTTGTATCTGAATAGAACTAAAAAATCAATTAATTTTGATGATTTGAAGACGTTCTATCTGTTTAAAATATACGGTAAAACGAGGAAGAGCTGCCCGCTAAACATGAAACATGACTGAAACGTTTGAAATGTGCAGTTATATTGCACAAATGTAACATATCACGGAAACGTTTCAAAAATGTTGCAGAAACGTCTTTAGCGCACATGAGATTCATGGTGCTACCGCCTCCCATCGCGCATGGCATTTATTATCTTATAAAACATAACCACCTCTTCCACTCGTCTTTATCTATGACAACCACTATCGTTTCTCCATGGTTTCGCCGAACAACGCATTATTTGGGAGGTTGTATTATTTGATTTTTTATTATTAGATTACTTAATTGGTTCAGCAAAATAAGTGATAATATATTGGTAAGTACCTATATTTTTTAATTGTAGAAACTTTAGTATAGGTAAGTATATTTGCTAAATTAGCTCTAACTTAGACCATGTGGACGATGTTATGCTGTTCTCATTTCGAGTTGTTCAGTTCATTTATGTACTAAAAGACGTATGAATATTATTTGGGGGCGATAAAATGAGCCGAACAAAGAAAATAAAGATTTCTAAAAGGCATCTTTGGCGTGTGGTGAACAAGAACGTAATCAAACTATATAATACTAACAGTTTTGTATATATTGAAAATTTTTAATACTCCATACATCATCTTAAACTGTACACTGGATAGCGCTGTATTATTGTTTTTTCCCTTTTAGGTTGAGGTTGTCGAAAACGATGATTAATTATAAACTGGGAATTTACCCAATTCAAAGAAGACTGGGGTCCTTTGCTCAGAGATAACTGAGTTTTAGAAATTATTTATATTTTTGTGTGTTTTTGTTGGTTCTTGTTTATTTATCTAATAAAA